AGCCCCCGACAGGACAAGGGGGACGGGAGGAGGCGGGAGGAAGAAAAGGGGCGAGGAACGAGCGACCAGTCAGTCGGTGCGTCCACCTCTCCGCCAAACTTCCGACTCCCTGGGCCCCACCGCCACCGAGAACCCTACAGGGCGCAGAGGGAAATCCACAAAGTGCCGGGGCGGAGGGGAGAAAATTCAAAACGAGTCTACTCAACCTCGACTTGGCTCCGAGGCCCCGCCATGGAGACAGGCACAGTGCGCAGGCGCAGCCATCGGGGGCGCGCACTCTCCCTGGATGCGCGACCCCTACCGGTCACCGTCCTCCGGGTCGGTCCTCATTCGTGCTTCTCGGTCGTAGTCCCGCCCTTCACCTGGAACTGAAACTCGAGGCGAAAGACGAAGATCCGGATAAGATTGTCGCGCTTCTGAGTTTCTGCTTGGGAGTTTTGTGGAAAAGGATACCGGGCAAACGTTTACCAATCAAAGCTAATTTCATCAATAACTGGTTTGGAGTCGGGAGGATATAATACAAATAAAATATTCAGAGGGCAGCTCCCCGGGTCCCCCCCAAATTTAACCTACCTACAATTCCCAGTATTCATAGCGTCTGAGAAACGCTGCTTTCTGGGGATTGTAGTATCTAGGAGCTGTGTTTTAAGGATCGTGTATAAGCACCATTTCGTGAAAATTAAAATAAAAAATATATACAGAATACAGTCCAGGCTTTTTGTATCATTCAGATCGCTCACAGGCCGATATAGCGGCACTTTAAAAATCCAAGCAATGAAAGGAACACGCCACCTTTAAGACTAGCCTTCTCCGATCGATGATTCCTACACACAGGAATAGGTAGTTGATGTATGTGGTCTGGGCCGCTGGAAAAGGGCAGCCTCGTGGTGCATTTTGAGGAGGTCCTAGGAAGAAAGTGGAAGCCGCATTTCGACTGCGTCTTCTCTCTTCCCTGTTCCATTTCATTTCGAGCTGCCGCTTTTTATAGTGCTACGTGACTAAATCGCCCGAACATCGCCCGTACGTTTCTGGGGCAAGTCTTGTGCGTACGCCTTTCGCCCACCATGGCTCAACTCCAGACACGTTTCTACACTGACAACAAGAAGTAAGTAAGCTTCTCCTTCTGTCCTCCTCTCCTGGGATCATTGATTGATTCTGCTGTCAAACCACCCCGACCCCAACCCTCCGGACACCTCTTGAGCTCGTTCTCCTCGAAGAACCAGCAAGTTTGTGAAGATTTTTTAGCCATCTTCCCGGCCAGCTCTGCACAATCTCTATAATTAGTGTTGTGACTGGCGAGCCCGAAAGGTTTCTACAATGAAACACACAATGCATAATAATTCAGCCAACGGTTGCATTGACATAAAAAAAGGAAATTGACGGGACATGTCTTTACAGCCTAGTGGTATTACACCGTTTTTGAAAACAATTTCATTTTATTCCTTTTTCGTTTTTACTCATTACTCTGGCTTTGTTGAGAAGTTGAATAGTTATTAAACTTTAATGAAAATACATATAGTAAAACTAATTGAAGGCCCAGTTTCTCCAAGTATATTCCTAGTAACCCTTTTTCTATGAATGTAATTTCTTTCCTTGAATTTTATTTTTGCTGTTGAGACTATACACCAATATACAGAAAATGTACACCAATGTGACATTTTCTACATATACATTGATTCCACCCATAAAGCTGGGCAGACATTCTTCTGAATTGTTCCACCTCGTTGACAAAATAAGTTGCTGGTGTCAATTTGATCCCACACAGGTAGTTCTTAAAAGAACATTAAAAAAAAAAACCCGCAAGGCAGGTATTTTTACTAGTTAAGGTAAACAGTTTTTCTATTTTAAGATGACTTTAGGTATATTTTAAATGTAAGGTTTAAAGACTATCTCAGAGCAATAGTTTCATGATTTTATCTACCTTCCATGCTTAGAAAGGTTTAGAGTTCATAAGAATTTGGAATTCTGTTTGACCTTGCAAGTCTGGCTAGACCAGAGGATGTACACTGGTACAGATAGGAACTGAAAAT